TTGCCAGGTATTGGGGCCCAGAGAGGCACTGGTTGCCATTCCCACCTCCAAGGACCACATTACTAAGCAAAGGTGACCCACTACAATGGAATGATTACCCCGAGAGGGGAGCAAGGGCATTTTGTGGTGGCCCAGCATTGTGGGCACTGACTTCTGCCTGAGGTGTGGGTTGGGGGAAGACCAGTAAACTCTGCAGAAAGGCACAGCAGTTCAAACTAAGTCATGAAGACGAGAAGGGCCAGAGATGGTTGAGTGGCCGGTGGGAGTGAGGGTGGGTGGGGAGGGCCTGCCGAGAGCAGCAGCCCCAGCAAAGACCAAGAGGAAGGAAAGAGCTAGTGTGGAACTACTGGAGCCCTGGCGTATGACAGGCAGGTGGAATGGGGACAGGACAGTGAGAGTAAACCAAAGGAAAATGACTAGAATGTTTGTGATGAAGAAATGAGAGTCACAGGGCTCAGCTGAAAGAGATTAACATTCTTGTGGCGCCAGGACTAGACCATTTTCTGTTCAGCTGAGATTTGGAGATTACCTTAGGTAACTGCTTGGGGAAATAACCAATAGACACCACCGTTCAGACTTGTGCTAGGAGCAGAACCAAGTGGGTAGTATTCCCTAAACTTTGGGAGAGCTGGCTCTAAAGCTCATTTCATTACCTCTAGCTTTCTTCTCCTTCCCCCATCTGGCTCTCAAAATCCAAGACCAGGGATTTTAGGGGTGGGAGGACACCAGCCCAAGAGGGTACCCTTCCACCCCTAGAATCCCTGCCCCAGCGAGACAGGCTGGGGAGAGAGCCAGGGAGGGCAGGGAGTCTCAGTAGGGCATGAGATTCAGGAAGCCTGGAGTCTGGAAAGGCCCTGGGTGACCTTGTCCAGCTGCCTTGCCGTCACACGAAGAGCATGGGGAGACTGAAGCCCAAGAAAGAAGGGTGAGGACTAAAGGAAGCCAGTGGAGCCTCACGCATGGGAAAACTGGGGCTCTAACAGAGGGCGCCCAGCTCCTACCCAGGATCCTTTGGCTTCTCTGTGGGTGTGGTTTCTGGATCTCACAGTGAAATGCTCCTTTCAGTTTCTTTTTAAAAATGAAAATAACTTATGTTTATAACAACATTATTTACAATAACCAAGAGGTGGGAACAACCCAAA